TGGATTTAGGCATAAATCATTGCGCTCTCAAATTTGGTTTAGTGGTAAATTTGGTATAGACATGAAAAAATGAGTCTGTGCAGTGGGTGTGCACTGTATAAAAAAAATCCTGCCTTACACTGCATGATGGGAACAACAACACATCTGACTCTGTGCCTAGGTTAAAATATCACCTTTGGGGCAACTTTTAGGATGATTTTAATGGTTTTATTGGCTGTTTCTTGGTGCCAGTGTATAGACTAGGATATATATTAGTGTAATGGACAAGATTTGGGTTTGTTTAAAAACCAAAGTGGCCTGAAATAAGCATAAAATTTGCAAGAAATTGTAGCGTTTGAGTGATTTTTCAGACCACCCTGATCTGTTTTATGATTTTTTTTTTTAATAAGTTTGCTTCAGTTATTGGGATGGCTTAAACCATGACCAAGCATTCTTGATTATGGTTTATTAGCATAATTAGGAAAACTAATTTTGTGTGTTGATGGATTCAGTACGGAGGGCAACTGTTATTAGATAAGAGTGACTGGTTTGGGGGCAGGTGGTTTTATGACTTGAGAGTGAGAGCAAGGTAACATTTGTAAAGGGATTCAGGGAAACCCAGGCTTGAATTCCGGACGTGGGGAGTACAGTGCCTGCACCCTGAAGAAGAGGTGGGGCATCTGAGCTGTGGTGTAGGCATTCCTCTGGCAAGACAGTGATATTGAGTGATGGTGAATATGTTTCTTCTTCTTTTTGGTCACCTTACCTTGATGGGAGATGGCCAATGTATTAAAAAAAAAAAAAAAGGGAAAGGCTGCTTTATTGGCTGGAATATCTACTCTGTTTGCTTTGGACTGTTTTTAATTTAAAATTGTTCAAAATAGTGTACAATTGGATAAATTACCCACTTCCAGGTGCTTAATAATGTTATGATTGTTGAGTGGGCAGTTTCTGTGAACTTTGGGTAAATTGGAAGGCATGATAATGAAATAGCTAGGAACTGGGTCATTTTTGAGCCTTAAATGGGCAAAATTGATAAGTAAGGTTATTCAGATATACACAAATACAATTACATAGGTTATCATTCATAGCAGCATATGTGTAGAGAACCTGGGATAACCCTAAAAAGTCAGACAGAGTGACTTATTTCCATTGGGATCCTTTTACCTTTATTTTTTTTTTTTCTTTCAACAAGTCAGGCCGTCTCCCACCGAGGCAGGGTGACCCAAAAAAGAAAGAAAATCCCCAAAAAGAAAATACTTTCATCATCATTCAATACTTTCACCACACTCACACATTATCACTGTTTTTGCAGAGGTGCTCAGAATACAACAGTTTAGAAGCATATACATATAAAGATACACAACATATCCCTCCAAACTGCCAATATCCCAAACCCCTCCTTTAAAGTGCAGGCATTGTACTTCCCATTTCCAGGACTCAAGTCCGACTATATGAAAAAACCGGTTTCCCTGAATCCCTTCACTAAATATTACCCTGCTCACACTCCAACAGATCGTCAGGTCCCAAGTATCATTCGTCTCCATTCACTCCTATCTAACACGCTCATGCATGCTTGCTGGAAGTCCAAGCCCCTCGCCCACAAAACCTCCTTTACCCCCTCTTTCCAACTCTTTCGAGGACGACCCGTACCCCTCCTTCCTTCCCCTATAGATTTATATGCTTTCCATGTTATTCTACTTTGATCCATTCTCTCTAAATGACCAAACCACCTCAACAACCCCTCTTCTGCCCTCTGACTAATGTTTTTATTAACTCCACACCTTCTCCTAATTTCCACACTCCGTATTTTCTGCATAATATTTACATCACACATTGCCCTTAGACAGGACATCTCCACTGCCTCCAACAGTCTCCTCGCTGCTGCATTTACCACCCAAGCTTCACATCCATCTAAGAGTGTTGGTACTACTATACTTTCATACATTGCCTTCTTTGCCTCCATAGATAACGTTTTTTGACTCCACATATACCTCAACGCACCACTCACCTTTTTTCCCTCATCAATTCTATGATTAACCTCATCCTTCATAAATCCATCCGCCGACACATCAACTCCCAAGTATCTGAAAACATTCACTTCTTCCATACTCCTCCTCCCCAATTTGATATCCAATTTTTCTTTATCTAAATCATTTGATACCCTCATCACCTTACTCTTTTCTATGTTCACTTTCAACTTTCTACCTTTACACACATTCTCAAACTCATCCACTAACCTCTGCAATTTTTCTTTAGAATCTCCCATAAGCACAGTATCATCAGCAAAAAGTAACTGTGTCAATTCCCATTTTGAATTTGATTCCCCATAATTTAATCCCACCCCTCTCCCGAACACCCTAGCATTTACTTCCTTTACAACCCCATCTATAAATATATTAAACAACCATGGTGACATTACACATCCCTGTCTAAGACCTACTTTTACCGGGAAGTATTCTCCACTATCCTCATAAAAGCTCTTTACAGCATTTAGTAACTTACCACCTATTCCATATACTTGAAACATCTGCCACATTGCTCCTCTATCCACTCTATCATATGCCTTTTCTAAATCCATAAATGCAATGAAAACTTCCCTACCTTTATCTAAATACTGTTCACATATATGCTTCAATGTAAACACTTGATCTACACATCCCCTACACACTCTGAAGCCTCCCTGCTCATCCACAATCCTACATTCTGTCTTACCTCTAATTCTTTCAGTTATAACCCTACCATATACTTTTCCTGGTATACTCAGTAAACTTATTCCTCTATAATTTTTACAATCTCTTTTGTCCCCTTTCCCTTTATATAAAGGGACTATACATGCTCTCCGCCAATCCCTAGGTACCTTCCCCTCTTTCATACATTTATTAAACAAAAGTACCAACCACTCCAACACTATATACCCCCAGCTTTTAACATTTCTGTCATGATCCCATCAGTTCCAGCTGCTTTACCCCCTTTCATTCTACGTAATGCCTCACTTACCTCCACCACACTTACATTCTGCTTTTCTTCACTCCTAAAAGATGGTATACCTCCTTGACCAGTGCATGAAATTACAGTCTCCCTTTCTTCCTCAACATTTAAAAGTTCCTCAAAATATTCTCGCCATCTACCTAATACCTCCCTCTCCCCATCTACTAACTCCCCTACTCTGTTTTTAACTGACAAATCCATACTTTCCCTAGGCTTTCTTAACTTGTTTAACTCCCTCCAAAATTTTTTCTTATTTTCATTAAAATTTCTTGACAGTGCCTCTCCCACTCTATCATCTGCTCTCCTTTTGCACTCTCTCACCACTCTCTTCACCTTTCTTTTACTCTCCATATACTCTGCTCTTCTTATAACACTTCGCTTTGTAAAAACCTCTTATAAGCTACCTTTTTCTCTTTATCACACCCTTTACTTCATCATTCCACCAATCACTCCTCTTTCCCTCCTGCCCCCACCCTCCTATAACCACAAGCTTCTGCCCCACATTCTAATACTGCATTTTTAAAACTATTCCAACCCTCTTCAACCCCCCCCACTACTCATCTTTGCACTAGCCCACCTTTCTGCCAATAGTCGCTTATATCTCGCCCGAACTTCCTCCTCCCTTAGTTTATACACTTTCACCTCCCTCTTACTTGTTGTTGCCACCTTCCTCTTTTCCCATCTACCTCTTACTCTAACTTAGCTACAACTAAATAATGATCCGATATATCAGTTGCCCCTCTATAAACATGTACATCCTGGAGCCTACCCATCAACCTTTTATCCACCAATACATAATCTAACAAACTACTTTCATTACACATAGCTCAATTAAAGACATTTACCCCTGGCACCCCAAATTTACCTACTACTCCCTCCATAACATTTTTACCCACTTTAGCATTGAAATCCCCAACCACCATTACTCTCACACTTGATTCAAAACTCCCCATGCATTCACTCAACATTTCCCAGAATCTCTCTCTCTCCTCGATACTTCTCTCTTCTCCAGGTGCATACACGCTTACTATAACCCACTTTTCACATCCAATCTTTATTTTACTCCACATAATCCTTGAATTTATACATTTGTAGTCCCTCTTTTCCTGCCATAGCTTACCCTTCAACATTATTGCTACTCCTTCTTTAGCTCTAACTCTATTTGAAACCCCTGACCTAATCCCATTTATTCCTCTCCATTGAAACTCTCCCACCCCCTTCAGCTTTGTTTCACTTAAAGCCAGGACATCCAGTTTCTTCTCATTCATAACATCCACAATCATCTCTTTCTTATCATTTGCACAACATCCACGCACATTCAGACTTCCCACTTTGACAATTTTCTTCTTCTTATTCTTTTTAGTAATCTTTACAGGAAAAGGGGTTACTAGCCCATTGTTCCTGGCATTTTAGTTGACTTTTACAACATGCATGGCTTACCCAGGAAAGATTCTTATTCCACTTCCCCATGGATATAAAAGGAAAAGTAATAAGACCAAGAACTATTAAGATAAAATCAAAGAAAACTCAGATGAGTGTGTATAAATAAATGTGTACGTGTATGTGCAGTGTGACCCAAGTGTAAGTAGAAGTAGCAAGACATGCCTGTAATCTTGCATATTTATGAGACAGACAAAAGACACCAGCAATCCTACCATCATGTAAAACAATTACAGGCTTTCGTTTTACACTCACTTGGCAGGACGGTAGTACCTCCCTGGGTGGTTGCTGTCTACCAACCTACTACCTTATTATTATAATATAAAGGTTATAACATATTATTACTATTATTATTATGACGTTGCTTAGTGTTCCCCGAACTTCAACTTTGTGCCTCCATAATTCTATGAATATTGCATCAGATTTTATATTTTTGTCCTATTACCTTTATGAAAAGATTCTCTAACATGTTAGATTAATTTTTTTTTGTTTCAAAAATGCTGACACAGGAGTGCCTCTCAATTTGGAGGCTGCTGACAGTTTAGGGGTTAAAACATTAATTTTTGTGTGTATACAGGTAATTTAAAGACTAACACTACTGCTCCGTAGCATGATGCCACGCTCGATCCTCGTTGAAAATGGCATTACAAGTATAATTGGGGGCGGTTCAGCCCTTGCCAGGAATCCTATTCTACTGCAAGAGCTAGAAGAAATGTATGATCTACCTGTCTCACTAGACTCAAGAGGTGATGCTGCCTATGGGTCTGCCTTGGCAGCCATTAATTCAAAGAAGCCTTGAGAGCATTGTTTTTGTGGAATTTATAAGTTGAAGAAAGGTAAGGCATGTGTTTTATTATATTGAACATAAGATGGGGATGTACTGAGATAAATTTGCTTGTATTAGCCAACTGGATAGTGGTAGACATGTATTTTACATTTATTGACAGACTATGAATTTATGCAACACAAATCAGGAGATATAATTAACAAAGGATTACTTTCATTGCAGAATGAAATGTGAAGGTGCTACCTGGGATTGCATATTCTGCCTATTCTTTTGTCTTAAATCATCTTTCTGTCTCTACTGTGTTTGAGGTAATTATGTAGGAGACCTCAGGAAAGGAATTCTTCACTCTGAATCCAGTCAAGCAAGAAGTCTTTAGAAACTGCCTTCAGGCTTGCTTCCTTACATTTTCAGCTTTTAAAGTTATTAATGATTTGTTTGATTTTGACTTGTGCTTGTAAAGTTAGCTATGACTAATAGACCTTAAAAATTGTCTCACTAGCTAGACTATATTATAAACTGATCACTTTGAGCCATATGTCTTGCATATAATTTAGACTTTAATCTCCTGAAAACTAAGGTTTTGTTTGTGCTGCAAGTTCAGCCCAGTGAATCAATAAAATTGAGTTTAGTTCATCATTGATTCTACTGTTAACTCGGTTTTTTAGGCATGAAATTAGGTATACTGAATTTTCAACCAATGTTCCAGTATTTTGTGATCTTTTTATTATTCATAGCTAAGGTTCTTGGTGCTACAAATATTTTTCTTTCTGAAATTTAAATTTCTAGTGGACCCAGCTTATTGTGAATCATTTTAAAACAGTTCCTTACATTTTTTATAGTATTAGCCTTACAGACTATGTGAATATTTATCTTTATTTTTCTTTTTTACATCAAGTTTTCTTTGTTACTGGCCAATTCTACTTATAGTGTCATGAGTACTTTACTGATCCCTTTGTTTTGCTTTTGTGTACTTTTCTCATATGCTTTATTATTCCTGTTACACCTCACATAGTTGTGATGTAGTAGAGTTTAAAGAAGTAGAATAAGATCTCAGCTAGTGAAAGAAATACAGCATATAGACAACAGAATGGTCGATATACACAAGTGCAGAGCAAAACTTTTATCAAATTACCATTTGCCTGTACAGCACTCTTTTTTGAGGTCATTGACTTGAAAAAAAAAAGTCGGTTGCACAAGTAAAACATCATCTCAATAAAAGTTTTGCTTTGCATCAGTTTCCCTTTCAAGCAATATCTTACTTAACAAGGACTGTTGAGCCTCAGAAAGCTACCTAACAATAACGGGATGTCTGCATAAGATATCTTGACAGTGATACCTTCCCTCAGAATACCCTATGGAAATATTCGTCTGCCATATAAAGAATCTTACAGTATTTTTCCATTGGTATAAATCATTCATATAAATACCATTTGCCACTAATGCAGTTTGTGTTCTTTCAGCTTGATGTTAAAAGATCTGATTTAGTGGCTTCATTCAAAATCAGTTTGTATCTTAAGGTGATGTGATGGGAAACAAGGTAAGGGAAAGCATTCTGCTTTATATTTCTAACGGAATTGCTATATTATTAAAGAAAATTTGAAATACTCGGTACGATTACCAGATTTAATACAAAGATAGTAAATCATAAGCTACTCTTGTTAACCTTCATGGATATCAACGTATAGATTAAGATCAAAGAATGAAGTGCAAACCAAATTTGAATCCTTGATGCCTTAAGCAGTGTGTGTCTGTGTGTATGCAGTTGCTCGCTGCCCCCTGCTTATGTGCAAATGTTGAAACGTGTATAAATACACTTTGTGTATAAAGAGTACTTTCAAATGTGTAAATATTTAATGTTTTACTGTGCATACAATAACATGCAGTAATAAAATATTTAACTAGGTAAACGTATTGTTAATTTTAGAGTGTAACTCGCTGTACTTGGATTAATGTCATAAATATTGACTGGTGAAAAATTGAGAAACCACTGGGACATAAAAAATGAAAGAGGCAGAAAGAGATTGGCATGTTTTGCCTTGGTCATATCTGCTAAACATCTACTAAAGAGGGTGTATGAGGTCAAAAAAATACATGTTCCAGAATTCTGTAATTAATGTGTGGAGATACCCATAAATAGATATGCTCTAGTTCCTAGTTTCAAGCAGAAGTGACATTTAATGGTCTTTATGGTAAATTAGCATTGTAGATAAACTTAGCAAGTGGAGCAAAAGGTGGATGATAGTTTTTCAATGTAAATCAGCATCATGTAGTGAAAAATGGAAGTAAAAATAGGTCACATGAAGAATACAGATTTTGACGAAATGTATGAATTGCTTACCATGGTAAATGTGAAAGATAAAATGAATATTAAAAAATCACTTACAAAATCACATACTCTATCAGAAAAGGACATGAGGAATACTAAATATAAAGTTAGTGTGTAGAGTATTTACAGAAAAGGATACCTTAAATGAAGCAGATTTGAACCTTTAATGGCAAATGAAAGTAAAGTAAAGAATAACAAGCCTGTCTGCCTTGGAAAATTTGTGTGATTTCATTCATATTCATTCATATAGTTTATTTGGACATGACACATAGTTGTACAAAGAATTATAGTAGTTGGGTGTATATGCCAAAAACCCCTTGTATGCAGAGCATTATGGGCAGGCTTAAAATTAACTTGAAATTAACAAGCAATGAAAGAAACCAAACCATACCACGGGCGGGGATAGAACCCACGATCAGAGAGTCTCAAAACTCAAGACTGTCGCGTTAGCCACTGGACTGTCTGATCATGGGTTTTATCCCCGCCCATGGTATGGTTTGCTTGCAATCGTGTCATTACGATTTCATGAGTCAAGCAATGAAAGGTTCAGTGGTAAAAATTACCGTAAACAATTTACAATAAGAAGTACAATTGAGTGTTTGAAACAATGAAATTTGAACATTTCGATATTGAAGCATTATAGTTGTGCAAATTTGTCGCATTACAATGTATAACAAACAAGATGATCAATTTACTGTATGTTGTCTTGAAGTTTTAAGATTTAAGTAATTGGGAGAATTATTGGTAATGTTAAATATTGAGTGTTGATTATTTAGTCCTGGGCAAGTAAGTGGTTTCTTTTTAGAAGAGTCTTAAAGGAAGTGGCAGACAGATAGAAAATGGGAAACATTGTTCCAGTAATGAAAAAATTCTCTATATTGATTTCATTTATTTTGACTTCAAAATGTTATTCAATAGTTTTCCCATGAGACTGATTTTGAAAATACAATAAATAATATAAATAAACTTAAAAAGTTTTATGAATGATTTTCTGTATGAAATGAAAATGCAAACAGTGGCAATGGGATAAAATAACTGTGGGAATTGTGACCAGCAATAAAATTTAACTAATAAAATTTTTAATTTATGTAACTAATTGCCAGAAGGAATAAACAAATGCTGTATATATATGTAAGTACAATACATCCTCATGGTTAATCCAGAAATCTTATGCAAAATAAGTAATAAATTATTGCAGAGCCCTGTAAGGAAACTGGATAAAGTGAGCAGATAGTGATCAAGATGATTGAATTAAATTTGGATAAGTCACCAGACAAATTATTCTTTAGATAGTATGTGAATTGGGAAATGAGTTATGAAGAAGAGACATAAAAAGGTACATTGAGGGGTATATAAAAGTTACGTGAAAATATATTAAGAATGTGTCTTATCAACAAGGAGAATAAGAGGTCATTATTGTTAACCGTGAAAAGTGGTGCCTAAAGAAAGTTTGTTTACAAATCATTGTAGAATACTGTACTGGAATGAGATAGAGAATAAAAAGGTACAATATCATGACTGAGAGAATACACACATAGAAGACTGAAACTTGTGACAGTGTTTCAGTCTGACTTGGAATATTAACTAGTGATTAATTAACCCTCTCACTGTTGGTGACATATAGGTACGGCTTACAAGCCAGTGTCAGTGATGTATTAATACGCCAAAATTCTAGCGGCTTCAAATCTAGTGGGAGAAAGCCGGTAGACCTACATGTGAGAGAATGGGTCTGTGTGGTCACTGTGCGCAGTATAAAAAAAACCCTGCTGCACACAGTGTATAATGAGAAAAAAACTCCAAAGGTATATTACAGAAATAGAGATGATATTGATTAGTTTCATGATGAAAAGTACCTTGAAGTTGAGCTCAAAGTAGCAGAAATGTTTGACTTTTGCCAATGCTCGAGAGGAAACATATGAAGTCACCATCGAATACGTGTCCAACTGGCCAGTCTAATGCGCAGTCATGAATGGGTTGACATTACTTGTACAATTATTACAATAATGCAGTTGTCTGCATAACAGTAAATCTTCCATTTTTTGTGTGAATAAAAATTCAAAATGGAGAGCAAGAGTAATATAAGAGGGGCCTGGAGTCATGAGCAAAGAACAGAGAAAATGTTATTTAGTGCCAGGAATGTCTGCATTGTTTATTCTGGACCCTATTTTGAAATTGGCATCTTTTGAAATTTGTGTGAAATGACCAAATTGCCAATTTCTGACTATTTTATTGGGTAGTTGAAATCGGTTAATTAGCGGTTTCTTGTACTTAATCAATAAACAAATGGAGTTCTAGCGAAATAGCTATGAGTTTGGTTGATTGGAACAATGGAATTGGCCAAAAATAGGGCAAAATCTCCGATGTGTATATATCACCGAGACCTCTAACTTCGCAAGAGTGTAATGCCGTAAGTTTCTAACAAATTTCGTACTTTTGGTGTCATTACCATCGGGAAAAGATTCTCTATCATTTCATAAGAAAAAATAATTTTTTTTTGTAAAGTCTTCGACACTGAGAACAAGTTTGTGAGCAGGGGTCTCGACAGTGAAAGGGTTAATGGTCCAGGTTGGATCGAAACATTGTCAAAAGTTTGTCTTGTATGTGCGGGTTATTTGTTCATTGTTCTGGAATGAGATAACAAAAGGGTGGTACAGTAGTATATAACAATGGTACAATTATTGGCAACTTAAATTCTATAACAAGTAAAACATTGAAGGCATGCCAACATGAGTATAGCTCTGTAACTACTAATTGGGAAGCCAGTAGGTAATCACAAGTGTCAAAAATAATCTAATGGGTCATTATACATGTGTTCTGACATGGGATAAGTTCAACAGTTTGAACACAAACTGTAGACATGTTATCATTACAGTGGACCCCCGACATTCGATGCATTTTAATGCAAAAATTTCGCCTCGACATTCGATGGAAAACCCGACATTCGATACGATTCGTACGAGACGTGTCCACATGTGGCCTGAACTGCCCCGTGTGTGCCAGTGTTTACAAGCCAGCCAGTGTGCGCACATCTAAGGATACATTCGGTACATTCCATATTATCACTGTTTTTGGTGCTTGTTTCTGCAAAATAAGTAACCATGGGCCCCAAGAAAGCTTCTAGTGCCAACCCTTCGAGAAAAAAGATGCTAATGACTATTGAAATGAAGAAAGAGATAATTGCAAAGTACGAAAGTGGAATGTGTGTGTCGGAGCTGGCCAGGTTGTATAGTAAACCCCAATCAACCATCTCTGCTATAGTGAGCAGGAAAATGGCAATCAAGGAAGCTGTTGTTGCAAAAGGTGCAACTTTGTTTTGGAAGCAGAGATCGCTAGTGTTAGAAGATGTTGAGAGACTGTTATTGGTGTGGATAAATGAAAAACAGATAGCAGGAGATAGCATCTCTCAAGCGATCATTTGTGAAAAGGCTAGGCAGTTGCATGATGATTTGGTAAAGAAATTGCCTGCAACTAGTGGTTATGTGAGTGAATTTAAGGCCAGCAAAGGTTGGTTTGAAAGATTTAAGAATCGTAGTGGCATACACAGTGTGGTAAGGCATGGTGAGGCTGCCAGTTCGGACCACAAAGCGGCTGAAAAATATGTGCATGAATTCAAGGAGTACATAGAGGCTGAAGGATTGAAACCTGAACAAGTGTTTAATTGTGACGAAACAGGCCTGTTTTGGAAGAAATTGCCAAGCAGGACCTACATTACTCAGGAGGAAAAGGCACTCCCAGGACATAAGCCTCTGAAAGACAGGCTTGCTCTTCTGATGTGTGCCAATGCTAGTGGTGATTGCAAAGTGAAACCTTTATTGGTGTATCACTCAGAAACTCCCAGAGCGTTCAGGCAAAAGAATATCCTCAAGGCTAATTTGTGTGTGCTGTGGAGGGAAAACAGTAAGGCATGGGTCACTAGGGACTTTTTCTGTGACTGGTTACACCATGCATTTGCCCCCATTGTGAAAAATTACCTAATTGAAAAGAAATTAGACCTTAAGTGCCTCCTGGTATTAGACTATGCCCCTGGTCATCTAACAGACTTGGCAGAGCGACTTTCTGGGGACATGAGCTTCATTAAGGTCAAGTTTTTGCCTCCTAATACCACTCCTCTCCTGCAGCCCATGGACCAGCAGGTCATTTCCAACTTCAAGAAACTGTACACAAAAGCTATGTTTTAAAAGTGTTTTGTAGTGACCACAGAAACTCAACTGACTCTAAAAGAGTTTTGGAAGGATCTCTTTAATATCCTCAATTGTATAAACCTTATAGGTAAGGCTTGGGAGGAAGTGACTAAGAGGACCTTGAACTCTTCTTGGAAAAAACTGTGGCCAGAATGTGTAGACAAAAGGGATTTTGAAGGGTTTGAGGCTAACCCTGAGAATCCTGTGCCAGTTGAGGAATCCATTGTCGCATTGGGGAAGTCCTTGGGGTTGGAGGTTAGTGGGGAGGATGTGGAAGAGTTGGTGGAGGAGGACAATGATGAACTAACCACTGATGAGCTGCTAGATCATCTTCAACAGCAAGAGGCCAGACCTGAGGAAACTGCTTCGGAGGAGGAGATAAAGAAATTGAAGAAGTTGCCTACTTCAAAGATTAAGGAAATGTGTGCAAAGTGGCTTGAAGTGCAAACCTTTTTTGATGAAAATCACCCTGACACAGCTACTGCAAGCCGTGTTGGCAACCTGTACACTGACAATGTTGTGAACCACTTTAGGAAAGTCATAAAGGAACGAGAGGTACAGGCTTCTATAGACAGATATGTTGTGCGACAGAAGTCCAGTGACTCTCAAGCTGGTCCTAGTGGCATTAAAAGAAGAAGGGACGTAACCCCGGAAAAAGACTTGATACCTCAAGTCCTAATGGAAGGGGATTCCCCTTCTAAACACTAACACCATCCACACTCTCCCCTCCTCCTATCCCATCAATCATCACCAGATCTTCATTAAAGGTAAGTGTCAATTATTCTATTGTTATTAATCTATTGTTATTGTTGTTATTGTAATTATTCTATTGCATTAAACTTAATATTTCATGTGGTAAATTTTTTTTTTCATACTTTTGGGTGTCTTGCATGGGGAAAATTAATTCGACTTTCGATATTTTCAACATTCGATGAGCTCTCAGGAACGGATTAATATCGAATGTCGAGGGTCCCCTGTATATCATAAATTGTAGTGTAATTTGCAGTTTACTATAATTACTCCAAAATGTTAGAAGTTGTACAATGTTAAAACAAAGTGTACATATAAGATGGACACTAGTACTCTTTTGAAATTGTTATAAATGCATTCCTTGGGATATGAAGGTACTAGTTATTTATACAGGAGAAGGGGTAACTAACCCCTTGCTCCCATTAACAATAATATATAATGTATGTAATTGGTCTTTATCCTAGGTAGTAGGTTGGTAGACAGCAACCGCCCAGGGAGGTACTACCGTCCTGCCAAGTGAGTGTAAAACGAAAGCCTGTAATTGTTTTACATGATGGTAGGATTGCTGGTGTCTTTTTATTGTCTCATACACATGCAAGATTTCAGGTATGTCTTGCTACTTCTACTTACACTTAGGTTACACTTCACATACATGTACAAGCTATATACACACACCCCTCTGGGTTTTCTTCTATTTTCTTTCTAGTTCTTGTTCTTGTTTATTTCTTCTTACCTCCATGGGGAAGTGGAACAGAATTCTTCCTCCGTAAGCCATGCGTGTTGTAAGAGGCAACTAAAATGCCGGGAGCAAGGGGCTAGTAACCCCTTCTCCTGTATATATTACTAAATGTAAAAGGAGAAACTTTGGTTTTTTCTTTTGGGCCACCCCGCCTCGGTGGGATACGGCCGGTGTGTTGAAAGAGAGAAAGAAATTGGTCTTTATGTAGCAAGTTTATATCTGATAAAATATAGATATCTTTTATCATGCAAGGAAGCAAATTTGGTAACCAACTTGGATTCATAAAGTGAGGGCATTATGTTGTGGGAAGAAAGCACAGCTATTATATAAAAGTAATTCAAACAGCAGTATAAGAAATTTCACTTCTGCTATAGAAAACAAATTATGTTTTCACAAAAGCAGTAAATGAATTGTGTAAAGTAAAAAAAAAAAATTGTCTGGGCACTACAAGAGATTTGTGCACTGGGGAACCTTGATGTTCCTTCAGAGAGCATGACACATTGATTACATATAATACAATGATGAACTTGTGAATATTATAAGTATTTTACTGTGTGGAAAAAAATACATTGTTTTGTATAGTCTGTTGTATGTACAGTATATATAATGATGCTATGTTTGCATCACAAGGTTAGAAGATTGCAACTTGTTTACGTCATAGAGATTGTTTATATTTTTTTACCAAGTTTCTTGTTTTCCTCTATTTTTTATGCTGTGCAAATTTAAAAACAAGAATTAAAATACACCTGACCACCGGGTAGACTTAGGTTTTGCCCCCATGCCAGGCTTAAGAGTTAACTAAAGTAATTCAGAGTAATACACAAAGCTCTTATAATTAACTATCATTCTTTTCATTCATTTCTGTTTTGAATGTGTGTGTATGCAGCATTCTTTCTCAGTAATAAGAATGAAATAAATACAAAAACTGTACTTCAACAGTTTAGTTTCTCTGTATTCTATAATAAACTTTTAGCACAGTGCTACCTATTCTATAGTGTAATTCCAGATTTGACCCCATTTTGTTTATTTATATCTAGTCAAAGTCAAAAATATAAAGTGAATGAACAATTTTGGTAAGGGGAAAATAAAAAGAAAGACCTCTTGCTAATACAGTTTGGCCATCACTAATTTGGCATCATTGGGACCTGTAGTGTGCCAGATTAGTGAGTTTGCCGGACTACAGAGTGGTTAGGTTAGAATACACTTAATTAACCTATCAATAGAGACTTTCTGTTACATCGTCCTCATTTTCATCACTGCTTTTTCCTGCACTGGCTTGCTGCTGTGGACTTACAACCATCTGCACAGTTTTTGAGTCAGTATAATGATGAAATTTGAAACTATGCTAGCCGAAATTAGTGCCGGATTACTGATGGCCAACCTGTAGTACTGTAGTATACCCTTCTTATAATGGACTTCTGTTAGACTCTGGAAATATGGAACAAAATCTACTGGGTTAATTGATTTGGAAACTATGGGGGAAGTCTGTTAGCTGTAGAATTGATAAATTAGACACATGTGCAACATTTGGGTATCTTAATGAGGAAATGTTTTGCCACATTGTGGCTTCATCAAAGGAGAATGGTGAAGAACAGGAGAAGTTTGAGGTAATCAGTCCCTCAGTCTTGAAGGACTGATTACCTTTAGCTGTGAGGAACTGAGAGACTGATTACCTCAAACTTCTCCTGTTCTTCACCATTCTCCTTTGTATGGACTGATGAAGCCACTGTGTGGCAAAACATTTCCTCATTAAAGATACCCAAATGTTGCACATGTGTCTAATTTATCAACTTGTCGGTTCTCTGAACCATTCATCTACATACCTGTAGAATTGTTTATCATCACAGCAAAACAGTCTACAATTGCCATTACTGCCCCCCCCCCCTTTCTCCCTTAGTCTATTATATGGAAGGTTTACTGGTACTATAATGATCTTGAATGGTCTCCACACTTCACGTGATGACTCAGTTTCTACCGGTAATGTGCTATATTCAGTACAAATTTCTGCTTTTATGCAAACCCCCAAGCCCAGCACTACTTGATTTATTAACAATGTCCTATATATCTTTAAATATCATTCTGGATAGGTGTGTATTAACTTTTATAAATGAAGAAATTAGAGAAAGAAAATAGATTTTGGTATTGGAAATCCACTGAGCATACATGTATTTTAAAAAATCCATTGGCTGATTTTCAGCTTGTCTTTCTCAAAGTCAAAAGAAAATGGGCACCTAGCCAAACGAACATGAGTTACGCTGACAAAATTGGGACTAGGAGTAGAGAGGAGCAGGAAAGAGAATTAGGGAGATATGTATTCACAAGTTCATAACATGTACATTTCAACTACGATGAAGACAAGCTGGTTGGTTGGTGGTACAGGAAGGTGGGAGAACCTTAATAGGATGCACGACCATAACACAAAACACACATCACGTTTTGATGTACCCCATGTCCACACCACACTTGTAAGAACTATGTAAGAACAACAATTTAAGACTCTTCTCTAAAACCATCTACTCACCCTAAACTAAATGTTCAATACTTAATACTTAAATTAAGATCTCCCAACTACCTAAATCTTAACACTTCAAAATTTAAATACCCAAAGTTCATACGTAACTTAATACTACATTGTAGTATAAATACCTGCACAAAACTATACTGCCATACACTATATTGTAGCATTCTAACACTGTAAACTACTTTCACCAACGCTCAGTATTATATTCCAGTAATATAACTTAAATATTTACTATTGATATACACAACCTACAAAATACCTCCAGATTGTCCCAATGTAATATCCTCAGATTGTAACTTGAGTTAACTCACTGTCTGCTTTAAATAAAAATAAACTATGATCAGTTTCTCTAGTATTAAGTAGTCTGTAAGCCATTAATTTAGTCTGCCCATAATGCTGTGGCATGATAGTGGCTCTCTTTGCACTCCAACTCATTATTGAAACTTCAGAAACTGTGTAAAGTTGCAAAGAAATAAAAATTGTATTGTATTGTATAAGTGACAAGTATGAATAACTTGTGTAGGGAGTATGACTTGCTTTTTTTTTTACGACAAAAATTTTTGCATATGATAATTGGGTGCATATGTACCCCATGGCCTGATGGCTAAAGCTCTTGCTTCACATAAGGAGGGTCCTGGTTCAATTCCCGGCAAGGGTAGAAACACTGGGCATGTTTCCTTACACCGGTTGTCTGTGTTCCCCATCAGTAAAATGGGTACCTGGGTGTTAGTCAACTGGTGTGGGTCAAATCCTGGGAGGACAAAACTGACCTAATTTGCCCAAAATTCTCTTCATAACAAGGGACTTTCTATATAGTAGTATGTCATTGATGTCAGCTAGGCGTGTATACCTTGTACATGTATATACATACTTGCAGAAATAAAGATATGCTTTCTTTCTTCTTTCAACAAACTCGCCGTATCCCACCAAAGCAGGGTGGCCCAAAAAGAAAAAAATTCTCTTTTTAACGTCAGTAATGTATACAGGAGAAGGGGTTACTAGCCCCTTCTCCTGTATACATTTTATCCACCTCTTATGACATGCATGACTTATGAAGGAAGAATTTTGTTCCACTTCCCCATGGAGATATAAAATAAACCAGAACAAGAACTAGAAAGAAAATAGAAGAAAACCCAGAGGGATGTGTGTATATATGTTTGTTGTAGTGTGACCTAAGAGTAAGTAGAAGTAGCAAGATATACCTGAAATCTTGCATGTTTATGAGACAGAAAAAAAAGACACCAGTAATCCTACCATCGTGTAAAACAATTACAGGCTTCCGTTTTACACTCACTTAGTGCCTCCCTCGGCAGTTGCTGTTTACCAATGTACTCCCTTGGAAAGATATTATTATCATTACTAGTCGAGAAATGCGGACTTTGCAGAGTCTTGGAACATATCTTTGTCATGTGTGTAGTGTTGGGTTTGTTTTGTTACTTCACTTATACTCCCTTAGGTAGAAACACATCAGTTGCATAAACTGAGGAACACCAGTGCTGTTCGATTTTTTGACTGAACATGTCACAATCTGGGAGAACATGGGTGTCATGAAGGTTTACAGTAAACTTATATATAGGTCATATTTCTATTGCTCACCATTGCCTTTTAAGGAGACTAAAGCAATATACTATAATACTCATGTATATAAGTTGTGCATTGTGTATACTTGTTGCTCAAATTTATGATAAATGTACTGGTAAATGATTAAAATAAGGAGGAAAGTCAGGGAAATAAATATGCATACAGAAGTTAGAAGAATTAGTAATTAGAAATAAAAGGTGAATATATTGCTATTTTATATTACAGTTGATATATATAATAGGATTACAAAAGATGTAGGTGAGGCTGAGGGATATAATTGCTAGTTTTATTTCTTGTCTTAATTATTGAAACATTATTTCTTGGTATGATATTAGTTAAGGACTTTGTTATTAATTTTAATTACCAGTAATTAAGTAATCATTACATTGGGGCATCACAACATTAGGGTCATTGGTGAAGTTTTTCTTTATTATTGACATACTGTACATCATTAGAAAAATCATTTAGTGTATGAATTTTTATTGAGTGATTGCTTTTGTTGTTGTTCTTTTAATTTGAAATAAATTCTTAAAGTTGATGTCATCTGTAAATTCTAGTTACATGTACAATATATATTTAGAATTTGTAATAATTAATGTTTTGACAAAATTATCTGAGTTTAGTGTAATTTGAGTATCATCATATTTTATTCAGGTAACATCTTACAGCAACTTAATACGTATATAATAATGGTTCTTCTGCAATTTTACCCTAAGGTAAATACTTGTTTTAGAATAGTACTTAAGTACAGTACTGTATTCAACTCTTATTATATTTTGCTGAAATTCTAGTGTTGATCTTGGACCAAAAAAAAAAAAGCCTTTTGTGGGTTATACAGGGTTGAGCATAAGTCATCTTAACAAGATTTATGAAATCATTTTGTGAGGAACAGTCGTTGCTAATCATTACTGTAATTATTTTTGTTAGTGATTTATGCTGCATCTTGTATATTTAATAGGCAGATTTAACTTGAAAAGCTAGTTAGCAGAGTTGCTTGTAATGTAAAGGTCTTTTATAATATCAAGATTGTTGTGAACATGCTATTAACATTATACCAGAGCATCTTACTATACTTGTGGATCAATGTCTAGCTATTTTCATGCTCTATACACCTCCAGCCAATTAGGTTAACAGTTGTGCAAAGTTAATATTATTCATGGAGAAGCACTACACCAATAGGGATTCAGGCAGTACCTGGAAAGTGAGAGGTAATCAAATTTGGTCCCAGGAAGTGGATAGTAGGTAGTTCCAGTGTTTTGAATCAAGGGCCCTTCAGCAGCATAGAGGTACTGTATCCCTCTTAAACAGTGTAAAGCCAAAAGAAAAATAGCAAATATTGCACATTTAGAGACAGCCATGCCTCAACCCCTGCAAGCATATATTAGTAAGTACATATAGGTGGTATATTAAAGGTAATAAATCTATCTTTCTTTCAACAAACTGGCCGTATCCCACCGAGGCAGGGTGGCCCAAAAAGAAAAACAAAAGTTTCTCTTTTTAAATTTAGTAATTTATACAGGAGAAGGGGTTACTAGCCCCTTCCTAAGGTAATAAATATAGAGGAAAATATTAAAGCAAGTTCAGATACTGTAACAGTCAAGGAAAGTTTGTGTGTTATATTCTCTAATGCTTCTTATTGCAAGAACAACATTATTGCTTAGTATATTTTAGTGGGATCTGAAATATGTATGCTAAGTATGTTTGTGTTTCCTTTATCTACACTTTAGAAAAGTATTCTATAAAAGATTTTATAGACCTCCCTTTACCTGAGCATCAATGTGAAATAAATGGCTTACTTAATGATATATTATTTATTATAATTACTACCAATATTATTTTAAAGTGTTCTACTGTAATTGCTTTAATTATTTACATAGAGAATATAAATGTGACAAGACTGTAGGTACATAGACTGCAGGTGGTACAGTATATAACTTGCCTAAGTCACATCCACTGTTTAAAAAAAGGGCTTTATTTATTGTTATTATAATTACTGGTAGTAGTGATAATGCTTTTCGTAGTGTTTAGTTTTGTCTTGGGTGGTTTTACTCAAGGTATTGATTTTTATTTCCTTAACACAGCAGGCAACCCAAAAAAGAACATATTCGCCATCATTCATTCAGTAGCTGTTTTGCCAGAAGTGCGCAGACCTCACAATTCAAATGACCCTTTGAACTGCATCATCATTTTAGCTCCAAGAAAAAAAATAAAAGCTGCAGTACATTTTATTAGTATATAAATAGATTGCCAAGAGAAGAAAAAGGTATGTGATTTACAGTGCTTTTGAATGAACATTGATACTATTAAAATTACTCATTGTAGGGAATTTTGCCTTGTACCATAGTATTATGCAGTTAATGACTCCTGTCCTATAAAACTGTCACAACAGATTTCTACAAGATGATTCAAAGAAATGTCAGTAACTAATTATGCTTGAGCAGAACCAAATTTGTACAACTAGTGACTATTTCTTGGAGACATTGTTACCAGCCAGGCACTTATGGGCTCCATAACAGGAATTCTGTCTCATATTGCCATAAAATGTATATACCTAGAATTGTCATTACTTTACCCTGTCAGTAATCTATCAATGAGCACGCAGAAATTACCTTCGATGTTGTCACTACCCTAACCCCCTTACTTCATCTTCCCTCCTTGCTGATGGGCCTGCCTTGGACTCAGACTCCCTCATTGCCTTTTTGACAGCAACTGAATTACTGGAGTATACCTGGAGAGGGTTTCGAGGGTCAGTGCCCTAGTGGCCTGGTCTGTGACCAGGCCTCATGGTGGATCAGGGCCTGTTCAACCAAGCTGTTGCTGTTGGCCGCACGCAACCCAACATATGAATCACAGCCCGGCTGGTCAGGTACTGACTTTGAGTGCCTGTCCAGCGCTTTCTTGAAGACGCCCAAAGGTCTGTTGGTAATCCCCCCTTATGTGTGCTGGGAGGCAGTTGAACAGTCTTGGGCCCCTGACACTTATTGTGTTATCTCTCTTCGTGCTAGTGGCACCCCTGCTTTCATTGGGGGAATGTTGCATCATCTGCCGAGTTTTTTGCTTTCATAGGGAGTGATTTTCGTGTGGAAGCTTGGTACTAATTCCTCTAGGATTTTCTGAGTGTATATAATCATGTATCTCTCCTGCCTGCGTTCTAGGGAGTACAGGTTGAGGAACTTCAAACATTCCCGGTAATTGAGGTGTTTTATCGCAGTTATGTGTGCCTTGAAGGTTCTCTGTACATTTTCTAGGTCAGCAGTTTCCCCTGCCTTGAAAGGTGCTGTTAGTGTGTAGCAATATTCCAGCCTAGATAGAACAAGCGACCTGATGAGTGTCACTACACAAACTTTGATGATACTTCCTTTAACACTCTTCACAGCACCTTTATATCTCTACCCCTATTCTCTTCTCCATCCTTGCTACTCTTCAATCCAACAAAATCCCCTGCCCTGCAGTGTTGTATGACCATAGTAGTTTTATCTCTTTGTTTTGATGATAATAATAATAATACCCTATTAGTATAAATGCCTGAAGAGCAACAAATAGGCAAAGTACAGTACTTAACTTATCTGATTTGTCAGTATCATTGATGCAGAACTCATCCATCCTCAAACATTCTAAATATGTAGAAATTCCCTGAGCTTAGTACTTGTGTTCAATGCAGATTTGACTACTTTTGACCATGTCTTAGTAGATTTAAAATACAGTAAAGCCTCGAATAGAACGAATTTAAACAGAATGTTTTTGTGATAACATTGTTGAGCAATTGCAGCATAAATTTGAACAGATTGCCATAAAACTTGAGTAGCACACTTTAAATATTTAAAAAAAGGTGTTAAGGCATGAAAACTGCTCAGGAGATTTATATGGCTTGGAGAAAGTCAGTTGCTGACTCGAGCTCAGTAACTCGTATGCTGTAGTGGCCCTCTTAACCTCAACAGACAGTCTTACCCACAGCCATCAGCTGACAAAACAAATGACTCACAGCTGTCTGCTTCTCAGTAGCTGCATACTTATCTCCAAATACCTCTAGGACAAGCAAAAGGAACAAAGGATTTAAGGTTGCATTAAATTCTTATTACTTTTTTTTATGTATAGGTATTGTATACTGATAAGATTGTGGATTAACTTTGAGTCATGGTGGTGTATTGGCCTTCTGTTTTCTCTGGATAGAATACCATGCTCATTTTCTCTAGAAGGCAGAAACAGTATACTGAGGTAGCCTCAATAAGTTTATTTAGTAACTAAGTTTTTATTGAGAATTTGGGTACATAACATATATTTTCATATAAAAAAGCAGTGACATCTATAATATAAGGTGTCAAAAAATTCATTATTTTTGACTGAATAAGAAACTTTACATAACCCTATTTTTTCTGTTCTTCAGTTTGCTGAACACTTTTTTTTTGTATGTGTGTGTGTGTGTGTGTTAGTTACCATTTTTGCAGTTCCTGGCCCTGCCTCTTCGCTGGCTGCTACTGGGTCACTTCCCGCTCCATGAGCTTTATCATACCTCTTCTTAAAGCTATGTATGGATCATGCCTCCACTGCATCACTTCCCAGACTATTCCACTTCCCAACAACTCTGTGACTGAAGAAATACATCTTAACATCCTTGTGATTCATCTGAATCTTCAACTTCCAACTGTGACCCCTTGTTGCTGTGTCCTATCTCTGGAACATCTTGTCTCTGTCCACCTTGTTGATTCCTCTCAGTATTTTGTATATCGTTATCATATCCCCTCTATCTCCTGTCCTCCAGTGTCATCAGGTCGATTTCCCTTAACCTCTTCTCGTAGGACATACCCCTTAACTCCAGGACCAGTCTAGATGCAAACCTTTGCACTTTCTGTAGTGTGTGTGTGTGTCTCTTTCTGTCTGTCTCATCAGAAATGCAACTTGTCTTTTTCAAGGGCCCTTTGTGTTATATAATGAATGTACATACTAGGGCACCATTGAAAGGTAATACAATGTTTAGTCATAGTAGTCTATAACTTGAAGGTTATCTTTAAGAAGACTGTAGCTGACTCAGAAATGTGTTGTTAATCTCATAGTATGATGGAACTGTGTCCTTTACAGAACAGTATCCAAAAATGCAGCTCTGTACCAGCACTCATTTGTGGGTGGTCTACTTCCACTCTGCAAAATTAATCTTGTAAGAGCGAGACAGTCATGAGTCAACACGTTTTTTTCATATCTTCACTTGTTCAACTCAAGGGACTTTATGGAGTGATAAATTTTCCTGTTTTCATTGAAGGTGAACCAACTAAATTCGCTTCATAATATATAGCCTCTGATTCCTGATACCTGTATTTTTTTGCTACACATCTTGTGGCCTCATTGACAGGTTGCCTCAAACCTAACTACAGTAACTATAGAAGTTTTAATTATTTTATGGGGTTGCAAAATAAAAATGATAAAATTTGTAAATATTTCTTATTCATTGTATAATGCATTCTACAGATTCAAGGAATTATTAAGGGTTCAGTGTTTATTAGTGCCTTGCATGTGCATTAACCCTTTGACTGTCAAGGTCGTATATATACGTCTTACGAGGTACCGTGTTTGACGTATATACATGTATACTCATAAATTCTAGCGGCTTTAAATCAAGCAGGAGAAAGCTGGTAGGCCCACATGTGAGAGAATGGGTCTGTGTGGTCAGTGTGCACCAATATAAAAAAAATCCTGGAGCATGCAGTGCATAATGAGAAAAAAAAAACTCGACCATTTTTTTTAATTAAAATGCCGACTTTGTGGTCTATTTTTGTATAGTATTTATGGTTGTATTCTTGTTTTCTTGGTCTCATTTGATAGAATGGAAAACATATTATAGAAATAGAGGTGATTTTGAGTGATTTTACTATAAAAAGAACCTGGAAATGGAGCTCAAAGTAGGGGAAATGTTTGATTTTTGCCCATGTTCAAAAGTAAACAAATGATGTCATTGTCCAATAAATGTCCAACTAGTCATTCTAATATGCAGTCATGAATGGGTTGATGTTATTTATACAACAAAATGGATTTCTAATAAAAATGTTATGAGTTTGGTTGACTGGACCAATGGAATTAGCCAAAAATAGGGCTCAAAGTGGGTGAAATCGCCGAGGTTGCTAACTTCGCGAGAGCGTAATTCCGTCAGTTTTCCATCAAATTTCGTGTTTTTTGGCATCATTACAATCGGGAAAAGATTCTCTATAATTTCATAAGATTTTTTTTTTTTTTTTTTTTTTTTTTTGAAATTTTGCAACACCAGGAGACACTTTAGGATTGGGGGTTGCGACAGTCAAGGGGTTAATTCCCATATCCAGACCCTGTGAGGGCCAGTAATTCAAGAGGACATAGCATAGTAATTTAGCTTTGTGAAGTTTGTAACCCTCATATTCTCTAACTATATTCACCTTTACATTCTCCTTTCATTAACCCTGATAGTCACCTTATACGTACCTTGTCTTTCAATCTTATACTCACCCTGTCTTGTACTCTCTTGCCCTATTTTTCACTCTCATCAAATTCAGATACCAAAAGTATTTTAAAATACAGTACTACTTAAGGACAAAAATTTAGAAAAAAGGTAGAGTATTTTTTATAAGTAGCCTTTCTGTCAAGCTGTAAGCTAGATTACTAGCCACGACTTCCCTTATTATTATATTATTGTCAAAAAAAAAAAAAAAGAAAATACAGTAGTAACTTTCCTGGGTGTGACATCACTAAATACAACTTGAAATATCACACTTACTGCAGCTGCATCTTATACTGTACTAATTGTTTACCTTTAAATGGTGTTATCTGCTTGTAGTACCAAACCTTTTCATTGCTATACAAAGCATTCTACATCCCATCTTTTAACTTGTTAGTTTTTACCAGTCCAGTGAACAACAATTCCCCACCTATCAATCTCATTGTGCAAACCTGATCCACACATCTTTATTCATGCCCACCTTACTTGTAATTTGTATTTTATTGGGTTAAGGTTTATTCAACCTTACCAAAAGAAATAATTACCTCCTGCTAAAAAAGTAATTTATTAATACTTATAACCCTCTATTGTATTTCAACATCTTTCCATTTATAGACAGAAACAATTTCTGTATAATCTGCAGTCTGCATCCACCCATTCCTCAGATACCTTTTCCTCTGCCATTTCCTATAAAATAGCCTCTAGATCATTGGCATTTTTCTGGTTTCATTTTAAAGCTCTCCTTTTTCAGATATTACAGCATTCCCATCTGTCACCTGACATGACAGTTGACAGTGATGCTTTTTGAATGTCATTGGCATTTAACAATTTAAAAATATTCTTATTATCTTGAAATATATCCTGAATTTGGCAGTAAATTTAATATTAACATCTTTTTTGATAATAGGCAGGTCTGTATGTTAAATATTCCTCCAGTAAATCTGTAAATCATATAGTCATGATGCTCTGGGAAAGATGTACATAATAACTGTTTAATGTTTCTTACCTTTTTAACAAAATCTCACATCAGCTTAATACAACCTGATTATGTTTCTGTTGCAGCTGTCAGTTTCATGGTTACTAGAGGACAAATATGAAAAAAATAGTGATTCAGTTTGTTGCATTCTTCCTGCATTAGTTAACACTTACTGTATGGTCCCTAGAGTAGTCTGAAATAAAATGACACTTTAAAGCAGCATGGAAATTTGTATACAGTACTGTACGTATAAGAAAATATTTTGCTTGATATAAAGCATGTTTTCGGTGGTTATGTGTACTGTACCTGTATATTACTAGGTGTGTTCATTAGGTCTTATCTTGTCTTTATCTAACTGTTTTGTTGTAGTTGTTTTGTATTAATAGGATCTTGTATATTACTGGTGATAAAAAATAATTTACTATTAATCATTGTTGATGATTGTCTTCTTGTATGCCTCAAATATAAAAAATGAGGCCAAGAATATTATGAATTTTCCTTTTAATCCCATGAACTAGTAATGATAAACTCTTAAGATACTTTTAGAGTTGGTGCACTGAGAGGGTAAACATGCATATTTTGAAGATAGGATATGTATCTTTATTTTTATATTTTTGAGTCACTACAGTACTGGTATGAGAGAATTTTGTATTTTTTGTAGTATCTCAGAACACATGTGCCCTAGATAAATATTAGGTCTGCAGACATTTTAATAGATTCAAATGCTGCATTTCATAGTACCGTATACTACTAGTTTATATCAGCAGCACCAAGCATAAAGATGCACATTACTCTTCCTTTAACAGATGCATAATATGGTTCATTAGTCTAGGGGGCAATCTTCAGTCATGCCAGAGAACTTTAAGATATAAAGATGCATACAATCCAAAGATTTTGTAATATATACAAATATGCTAAAAAATTGTGGCCTGTTATCCTGTTATGATTTATGCAGACAATAGAATATATATATTCTTTAAGGGGTAGAGTACCTTGCCATAGTGAAGGGAGAGTTGTTGATACGAGAACTTGGACCTTTTTTCTTCATCACATTGAATAAAATACCCCAACCCTCTTGGTCCTTTTGGCCACATTTGAGGGGATATTTTTTCCTTTTGTGAAATTCAACTTGTAAATGGAATAAGGAATCACCACTGGCCTTGTTCTAACGTAACTTGCATTGGTAGTTATGTGGTGATTGTGTCAAATCACCCAATAGAAATTAAATCAGTGCATGTTAGGTGACCTTCCAATGAGAGTAATGGTCATCTGACAGAACCTTTGGTTGCAGAAGTATTACTGAGATTGCCTGGAGATCTAGGAGTGGCAACTGCAAGTGTATGACTCTTGGCATTCTTTCCAGTTTGCCCACTGCCATTATTAGCTGATAGATATTGCACAGTAAGTGCTCTTGTCTAAATAGATGATTTTACTAAGCAGTGTTCAGTCAGTTTTGTAGATACCATCTCGGTGTTGTGCACCTGCTTTCAGGGAACAATAGCATTACTTGTTGCAGCAGAGGTGACCATGGTTTAGGGTGGGTACATTGTTTCTCATAGTTGTCTTCTGTTTTTATTTTTTTTTATTTAGGAATGAGAAATTGGTTTATTCTCCTGAATCCCAAGTAACTGCCTGGCCATGGACATTCCTTAGAACCTGAAATTACTTTCAGGCAGTTACTTATTGCCTGAACCTGATATTAGCAACCTACTTACCCCATCTACCTCTGACCCCACATTACCTTGGCTGGGAAGCCATATGCCAAGAGACTACAGACAAGTGACAACAATACCACAGTACCATACAGTACAATACAACAGTACCAACAATACCACCAGTCCGATGACATTCTTCTTTGCAAATATACAGAGTCTAAAGCCAGCAACAAACAACAAAATACCTTCCATCCGTGGACTGCTTGCAGAGGCAAAGGCAATGTTCGCGGCTTTCACTGAGACCCACATAAAGGATCACTTGGACAACGAAATATGGATCCCAGGTTACAACCTATACAGATGTAACAGAGTGAACAGGCAAAAGAGGGGGAGGTTGGCCTGTACATTGCAGAGTCACTTGTTTGCACAGAACTGCTAAATGCCTCAAATGATGTAGTGGAAGTTTTAGCAGTAAAGGTCGAGAACCAAAACCTAGTCATTGTGGTAGTCTACAAGCCTCCGGATGCAACATCCCAGCAATTCCAGGAACAGCTGTTAAAAATTGACCACTGTCTGGAAAATCTTCCAGCTCCTGCACCCAACATCTTGCTCCTGGGGGATTTCAACTTAAGGCACCTAAAATGGAGGAATATAGCAAATAATATTGTTGCAGTAATAACACCAGGAGGCAGCTCTGATGAAAACTCACACTCACACGAGCTTTTAAATCTCTGCACAAAATTCAATTTAAACCAGCAAATAATAGAGCCTACTAGACTGGAGAATACACTAGACCTCATCTTCACTAACAATGATGATCTGATAAGAAATGTCACCATATCAAAAACAATATACTCAGATCAAACCATAATTGAGGTTCAGACATGTATGCGTGGAGCCCCAGACCGACATAATGAGACTAGTCACGAGGGAGCATTCACCAAATTCAACTTCAATAACAAAAACATAAAGTGGGACCAAGTAAACCAAGTCCTAACCGATATAAGCTGGGAAGATATACTAAGCAACACAGACCCCAACGTATGCCTAGAACAGATTAACTTGGTGGCACTCGATGTATGCACAAGGCTTATTTCTCTAAGAAAAAGGAGGAGTAGATGTAAAATAGAAAGAGACAGGCGCTCCCTTTACAGGCGACGGAAAAGAATAACAGAGCAGCTAAAAGAGGTCAATATATCTGAAATGCGTAGGGAGACACTGGTCAGAGAAATAGCAAGCATCGAACTCAAGCTAAAGGAATCTTATAGGAGTCAGGAATCGCGGGAAGAACTAAAAGCCATAAATGAAATCGAAAGAAACCCAAAGTATTTCTTCTCCTATGCCAAATCAAAGTCGAGAACAACATCCAGTATTGGGCCCCTACTTAAACAAGATGGGTCCTACACAGATGACAGCAAGGAAATGAGTGAGCTACTCAAGTCCCAATATGACTCAGTTTTTAGCAAGCCGCTAACCAGACAGAGTCGAAGATCAAAACGAATTTTTTATGAGAGAGCCACAAAATTTGGTTAACACAACCCTATCCGATGTTATCCTGACACCAAATGACTTCGAACAGGCGATAAATGACATGCCCATGCACTCTGCTCCAGGGCCAGACTCATGGAACTCCGTGTTCATCAAGAACTGCAAGAAGCCCCTATCACGAGCCTTTTCTGTATTTTTTTGTACCTCTGTACGTGTGCTCAAATTGTAAATAAATAAAATAAATAAATAAATAAATAAATGGAGAGGGAGCATGGACACGGGGGTTGTCCCACAGTTACTAAAAACAACAGACATAGCCCCACTCCACAAAGGGGGCAGTAAAGCAACAGCAAAGAACTACAGACCGATAGCACTAACATCCCATATCATGAAAATCTTTGAAAGGGTCCTAAGAAGCAAGATCACCACCCATCTAGAAACCCATCAGTTACACAACCCAGGGCAACATGGGTTTAGAACAGGTCGCTCCTGTCTGTCTCAACTATTGGATCACTACGAAAAGGTCCTAAATGCACTAGAAGATAAAAAGAATGCAGATGTAATACAGTGGACCCCCGCATAGCGAACGCCTTGCATAGCGAACAATCCGCATAGTGAACGCTTTGTTCGCTAAAATTTTGCCCCGCATAGTGGACAAAAACCCGCTCAGCGACCTTCGTCCGAGACGCGTCCAATGTGCGGCCTCAGCCAGCCTCACATGTGCCGCCCGTCCCATTGTTTACCAGCCAGCCTCCGCGGTAACATTCAAGCATACACTCGGAATATTTCGTATTATTACAGTGTTTTCGGTGCTGTTTCTGGAAAATAAGTGACCATGGGCCCCAAGAAAGCTTCTAGTGCCAACCCTGTGGTAAAAAGGGTGAGAATTAGTATGGAAATTAAGAAAGATTTTGAAGGGTTTGGGGCTAACCCTGAGAAGCCTATGCCAGTTGTGGAATCCATTGTGCCTACTTCAAAAATTAAGGAAATGTGTGCACAGTGGGTTGAACTGCAAACCTTTATGGATGAAAATCACCCTGACACAGCTGTTGCAAGCCGTGCTGGTGACTATTTCAATGACAATGTTATGGCCCATTTTAGACAAATCGTAAAGGAACGGGAGGTACAGAGCTCTATGGACAGATTTGTTGTGCGACAGAGGTCCAGTGACTCTGAAGCTGGTCCTAGTGGCATTAAAAGAAGAAGGGAAGTAACCCCGGAAAAGGACTTGCTACCTCAAGTCCTAATGGAAGGGGATTCCCCTTCTAAACAGTAACACTCTCTCTCCCCTCCTCCCATCCCATCAATCATCACCAGATCTTCAATAAAAGTAAGTGTCATGTAATTGTGCATGCCTTTTTCAGTTTGTGTGTACTAAAATTAACATTTTTTTGTGGTAAAAAAAATTTTTTTTCATACTTTTGGGTGTCTTGCACGGATTAATTTTATTTCCATTATTTCTTATGGGGAAAATTAATTCGCATAGCGAACATTTCGCATAACGACCAGCCCTCTTGCACGGATTAAGTTCGCTATGCGGGGGTCCACTGTATATACAGACTTTGCAAAAGCCTTCGACAAGTGTGACCATGGCGTAATAGCGCACAAAATGCGTGCTAAAGGGATAACAGGAAAAGTCGGTCGATGGATCTATAATTTCCTCACTAACAGAACACAGAGAGTAGTCGTCAACAGATTAAAGTCCGGGGCAGCTACGGTGAAAAGCTCTGTTCCACAAGGCACAGTACCGCCCCCATCTTGTTCCCACCCAAATCCGCAAGAGAAAATGTCACCACAGCACCGGTCTTCCTTTGCAGATGACACCCGAATCTGCATGACAGGTTTTCCCATTGCAGACACTGCAAGGCTCAGGCGGAAACATAAACCGAACTTTCGGGGGCTGCAAAAACAACATGAAGTTCAAGATGAAAAATTTCAATACTCAGATATGGTAAACACGGGAAATTAAATCTTCATCAGGTACAAACAAATTCTGGGGCCACAAAATAGACGAAACCCAACTCAAAGACCGGGAGTGATCATGTCGGGATCTCACTTAAAGGGACCAAACATTGTATCAACGCACTGCTAGAAAAATACGGGATGGAAAATGAAACCCTTTCAAAACTAGGGAGGCCAAGCCCATGATACACTCTTCAGGTCACTGTTCTACCTGGCTGGGGGCCCGGTGGTTTGGTGGCAAAAGCCCCTTCACCACGAGGCCCCGGGGTTTTCGTTCCCGGGCGGGGGGAAAACTTTCGACAGTTTCCTCACACCTGTTGTCCTTTTCACCTAGCACAAAAGTACCTGGGTTTTATCACTGGTGTGGGCCGCATCCAGGGAAAGATTAAGGACCCAATGGAATAAGTTAGACAGCCTCGAAGACGCACAAAACTTTTTTGGGTTATCCGGGGTGGCTAACCCTCCAGGGTTTTTTAAAAACCCAAAAAAATTTTATCTTATCTTACTTATCTTAATATTGTTGCACAACAAACAGCCCCTTTCAAGGCGGGTAAAATTTGCTGCCCTAGAAAATGTACAAGAACCTTCAGGGCGCGCATAACGGGATAAAACACCTCAATTACTGGAGGTTGAGTTCCTGAACCGTTTTTCCCGGGAACCAGGGGGGAGAGAACATAAATTTTATACACCTGGAAAACCCTAGAGGGACTAGTACCGAATTTCACACAAAATACTCACAACAAAAACAAAAGATTTGGCAGACATGCAACATCCCCCAATAAAAAGCAGGGTGTCACCACTTAAGAACCAACAAAAAGGTCAGGGCCCGAACTTTTAAACGCCCCCCGCATACAAAAGGGGGGTTTACAAAAACCCCCCTGGCAGTCTTAAAGCTGGCACTGGACAAGCACCAAAATTTCGGTTTCCTACCACCGGGGCTGTGGCTCGTACTTGGTTTGCATGCAGCCAGCAGCAACAGCCTGGTTGATCAGACTCTGATCCACCAGGAGGCCTGGTCACAGACCGGGCCGCGGGGGTGTTGACCCCCGGAACTCTCTCCAGGTAAACTCCAGGTAAACTGACATAACACATGTACTTCTCGATCACACACTAAAAATATAAAACCAGGAAACCTCCCCATTTTACAAAATCTTCCCAAAAATTTGAAGGAAGATTTTTTCATTGCAAACAAATCCCAAAATGCAGTACTTACACAAGAACTCAACTCATATCAACCCAGATATATTCAGTGCTAAACAAGTGAGATTGCATTGTCACTGTTAATGATGCTAAGTCCATAAACTAATGTCCTCACTATTGGCAGCCCCCCATGACAAAACTGATGCTCCACCCTGATTCAAAAAAAAACTTATAACCTTTTAGGGCATACGCAAGATTAAGACCATGCTTTAATATACGCAAAAAATTTACAATAAAAAGACTCCCACTCACCAGGGGCAAAATCTGTCCACACTCCTCACAGATGGAAAGCTCTCATATATTGCACTTCTTCATATTATGTTTTGGAAAATTTTACTACTAAAATTTTTTTAAACCCTTCAATTTACTGTAAAGTTTTAAAAAGGAAACTCAGACTAAAAAAAATTTTAAGGATTTCTTTTGCTTGGGGAAAGTCAGTGCTGACTCCTAAACCCACCCAAAAATTTTTAACCAGGGGGAATTTTATTTTGATGAAACACTTTGGCGATTCTCCACCACTGTGAGAACAGGCACCTCAGTTTCATTTCTTTTGGACTGCCCACTCTTTCAATAGCACATAGAATTTACCGCAATTTTGTGACTGTTTCTTACCTTCCATTCTTACTGAGGGCCCTCCTTTAATCCAGCCTCTCTCTTTGACAGCAACTGATTTATTGCAAAAACCTGATGATCCTCTAGTACTCCTCAGGGGGCCCTTTTC